GGAAGCTGAGCTGGTTTGAGCCTGGGGTGACCGCCAGTGCATTCCAGGTGCAATAGGAGTGAGGCAACGGGCTGCAAGGTGGCCAGGTAAGGCAGTGGCCTTCAATTCACATTTTAATCGGCCATTGTCTATCCACTGCTGCACGGTGCTACAATCCGTCTCACTCCTGCGCATGAACCGATATCATCACTCATGTCCAGTGGGCAAACACATAACGAATGTATTGGGTCGGTCTGTTAACTGAATCTATCTGTGCGGAGTATTGAGCGTCACCTCCCCACCCGAGTATGCGTGGTGGATTTTCCTCAGGCTCTGCCGTTTCCTCCCAACGCGAAGAGAAACTCTCAATCACGGAATTGGCCAAACGTCCCAAAGCAGCAGGACCCCCTTTAAAAAGAGAGTCTTGAGACTCAGTGAGGCTCTTCCTGAGTAACATAAACAGCAATATATTACATTACTTAATCCTTAAAGTCTCTGGACGACAGGAATGGTGGCCATTTAGCACCCACACAAAAGACTTAAACAAGAGGGCAATGAATCACAACGAGAGTGAACATCTCACGTCAGTTGAGAATGTTTGGCTGCTAATAAATGTCCACGTGATAAGCCATGTTCGTTGAGCTATCATTTGTGGCCAAGACGCTTCCGAAAAAGAACTACGCAGCTCAGTGGTGGGGCCTTAGCTGGTAAAATGTTGAAAAATTAGGCAACTCGTGCACAGGAACGTTTTGCAGGAGGAAAGATGAAAGCACAGCGAGGATGCTTCAAATACGTTGCGACGGAGTTTAACTCTGAAGTAAAAAAAATGAAATTAAAATTAATAAAATAAAATAATAAATTATTTTTTATTTCATTTTTTTAACTACGTAACTTTACCGAAAAAAATAAGAGTATGAATCCTTGCAGTCACGAAAGCTTCAAATCTAGAATTTAACTCTTAAGTCCACTACTCATTTCCCACCATCTGCACTCAATGTGCCATCTCGGTTTTAAACATTATGTGCAGATGACCAGTCACACCCATCCATTATCATCATCGTCGTCGTCGTCACAAGCCAATAACAACACTCCACTGCTGGATGAAGGCCTCCCCAAAGCCATTTAACGCTCAAACTGACTTTAACACAATATCTGCACAATGACACCCTACCATATTTGCACTATGTTACCCTATTTGCATTTTTGTAATTTTATATTGTATCTTATAGCTATTGTAGATTTTAGATTTTATTTTATTCAATTTTTACATACTTTAGCTCCTTAGTATTAGTTAGACTTGTACCTTTAGTATAGTTAGACTTGTAAACCACTTATTTAAGATTCCTAATGGTTATATTGTATGCACCTTCCGGCCCAAGTAAATTCCTTGTCTGTGCAAACTTCCATGGTGAATAAAACCCTTTCTGATTCTGATTCTGTCTCACGGCCCTGCGATGTCACCGAGCGCATGCCCACAATCCGATTTCATCGCTCCATCTCCGTGGCGGATGGGGTCTCTTAGCATGCGTATGTTCACTGCTCCACGTGTTCCGTTAAAACACTCATTAACGGATCTGGCCAAACATTCCAAAGAGCATGGCTCCTCTTGAATAGCAGTCTTGACACTCCACAAGTAAATATTCCCCGGATAAACAGAGGACGCATTTTTCCCCTGATCATGTGAACCAAGGTGTTTAAATACTGCCTGTACTGTACATGTCAACCCACTGATGGATGAGTGGCCTCTCCACACCGTGCAGATCATGGGGTTTCCGTCGACCATACTTCACCACCCTCGTCTGCGCAGGTTGGTGGAGAGCACAGATGTGGCGTGGGGCTATAGAAGTACAGTATAACAATGGATTTTTGTTCGGCCCTGCCCTCTATCCACCAGGCATCCCCAGAGCCTATAGCACTTGTTACGCACTGCGGTCACCCTTCGAGGCACTGTCCACGCTCCGCATTGCTTAAATTCTGAGATCTGATGAGATAGGGCGCATTCCACGTGAACTGGTCACTTCAACTCCACTTACTCCGAACCACACCGCTGGATTTAATAATGGCTGTTTACATCACGACACCGCTGCATGAATCAAGCGTCGTTGTTTTGGTTACTTTCACGTGTGTCAGTCAACAGTGTCTCCGTGCTCACACGCCCGATGGGCGTAGTCCCTGAGCCCGTGGTGGAAATTCCACATTCCTCTGGTGGGGCCCAGCATATACGTAAAATGACCACAAGCTAATTACAACGGTGGTTGTAGGGATGGCAATACGTATTACAAATCAACGTTTGCAAATTCATTTGTATTGCAGAGCCCACGAATAAAATCAGTGTCTTGCGGTATAAGAAGCTATCCTGGTCCTTCTTCGAGTTATGAACATGCTCTTTGGTCAATCCACTGCCGGATGAAGGCCGACCCCACGCACCGCAGTGGCCATTGCAGGTAGTGGTCCGCCAACTTCATCCTCAAATGAGATGCCAAGGTCGGTGTGCAAACATCGCCACTGGGGATCACAGCAGCAGCTGCAGCCTCACTCCACGCGACAAATACCAAGGAGGGCGAGAGACGGAAGCGAGTGTGGACCGTGGCCCACGTCAACGTCCAACGTCTCGCACGGAGACCCGACCAGCGAACCTCCCCGGTTGCAACCTTCCACGCCGCCAGCGGTCGACCCGTCAACCGAATCAGGGAGCCGAGGCCACGTGGCTCGAAGCGGCCACCCGACGATGCCACAGATGGCGCCATCGAAGACTCGGTGGCCTGCGAGTGGTGCGGCCACAGATCCCAAATCGTCGTCGGCTCGCGCATCGTAAACACTCCGCCGCCGCCGCTGCTGCTGCTGCTGCCACCTTCATCCCTTTGAAGGAGGAACGGGACGAGATCCACTCCGCCTCTGAACAGACAATTGAGTCGGATGACATCTAAAATTGCATCTTTAATCTGCTGCTATTAATCTATACGAAAGAAGAGGCACCAAGGGAGACAAAGGCGGCCGCGTCGTGGTTTCTGGTCACACGCCACCCGATTCCAACCTCAAACTGCGCGAGAGGTTCTCGCAAGCAGGCATCGGAATGCAAAATTGGCGATCTGTATCTGTGCCATTATGAAACAGCCACCAATCGTGATGGTCGCCCTCTCTCTCCGTCTTATCAGTCCTCTCACTCGGCTGAGATTCGCTATCTCTTTGTGATGGAGGGCCAGAGACCAACACCCCCACCACACCTCAACTTGTCGGGAAGATTCGGCTCTCTGGAGCCCCCCTGGAGCTCCACAGTGGCAGCCCTTCCGCCAGGAGGAGTGGAATCGTCGTCTTCGTCGTCTTGCCGCCGTCGTCGTAAGACCGACGATGTCGATGGAGAGCAACTTCTACAATGTCGCATTCACGTACTGCAATATTTTGCTGTCTTTTCTTGGATTTTCTGTTTGCACGTAGTCACTTTAAGATGTTTTCTTGTTCATGTTTTTTGTTTTTTGTTTGTTGCGGTTGCACCCGATTCAAGAGCCGAATGGCTCACAGGGCTATACCTAATAAATGAAACTTGAAACTTTAGGTGGCCAAGCCCTGATAACCGCGTAAGGAGCAGCGGAGTGGTCTGTCACCATCATCATCATTCGTGTGAGGGCTCCTTCGCATTTGTGGATCGGGGCATTGCGTCGCTTTACGTTGTCACGGTGTCTGCTCTGGATGAACGCCGCCGCAGCGGATGCGGTTTTAGGGTGGACCACGGCCATCGGGGGGAAGATCTAAACCCAGGAAGATCTTCATGCATTGGGTATTTCACAACGAGCTGTCCGTCCCGTGAGTTCTTTCGGTCTCCCAAATCAGCTCTCCAAGCGTCAGGAGTGGAGCGAAGCCCTCTTTGATAACTTCTGCCGAGTGACATTGGTTCGAACTTTGGCAATGCCCTCTCGCCAAGCCGACAGCACGGACTGCCCTGCAAACAACCTCAAGACATCCAAGCAAGGGGCGTACAGTGTGCCCATGTCCCAATCTTTGGAGCGACTTCCCCTTTCTGCATGTGACCCAGGGGACACGCACAAAGAAGCAACGTTTCGTTCACCCAACGAATACACTCAAACACGCATTCGAAAACCTTCGCACGCACGGAATCGGTCACCCGGTGGTGGGAATCGAAGCCAGGTGGGTTCTCCGTGCCGTTAGACACAACAACAGCAACAACAAAAACTCAAAGACTCTCCCTACAGTCTTACACAGGCTGTTGTTAGCGAGCACCTATTAAGGCAGGCACGTGCACGAGGACATGGACATGCGAAACGGCACCACGCCCGGACGCCTTTGATGTTTTAAACACACCAAACTCGTTTACGGCTGAGTAGACCTAGGCGATGCCCAGAAACGATATAGTTTAGACCACTCACACGGTCATGTTTACCGTGGCGGGGACTCGAACTCTGTTCACCAGGTTCGTAGCGCGGTGCGCTAACCGATGCGCCCACCGCTCCTCTCCCAAACAAAGGTCCCCATATAGCTTCAAAGAGACGATTGGGACAAGTGCTATGGGCGAGTAGCACCTATGAAGGGTCGGCACACACGAGGGGGCGGGTGGAAATCACCACGCTCGCCCGCCTTTGCCCACACAAGCGCCGACGTTTAATTTCAATGCCGAGTCGACCTAGGCGAGACCCGGGACCGGCTCGGATTACGCTCACAGACAACTAAACACCCGCAATGGAGCTGTTGACCCCGAGCGGGAATCGAACTCTGTTCACCGAGGTTGGAGCGTTGTGCGCTGATCACTGCACCACCGCTCCCCCCCCACACACACCCAGAACACCACACACTCACACACTACACACCCACACACTACACACCCACACACTACACACCCACACACTACACACCCACACACACACACTACACACACACACTACATCGTCCACACCACACACCACTCACAGCACAGCACCACCTACGCCCCACACACACCACAAACAACACACACATCACACACCACACACCCCACACACCACACACACCACACACACCCCATTCCTTACCAGCAGAGTCCCGGCGCTCACACGCGAGTGGCAGTCCCGGACCAACTTGTCCAGAATCTTCATTCGCTCCTCCATCGCGGACTCGGGGCAATGGAGCCAGCCGCTTCGGGCGGCTGCCGATCCAAACACTAAAACTATCACTCGCGTCAATCAATTCGATTTAAAACTAACTTAAGGTGGGGGTGGGGGGCAGCCCCCCCTCCTCCTCGGGGGGGGGGGCTGTTTGCATAAAGAGCCTCTCCAAAAATTCTAAATCCTTTCGTGAGATATAAAAAAAGACAACAGCTTTTGCACCTCTCCTCCAAAACACGGGGAGGGAGGAGGGAGGAGGGTGGGAAGACCGCTCAGACGTTTCGAGCGACGCGAAGCTTCTCAAACCAGCCCCGTGGCTTATGAAAGGACTTTCACGCTGCCTGCTAAAGGCGTTCGTCACAGCACATCGAACCGGCCGGCAAATTGGTGGTCGTGGAAGCTCTTAAAAACTGATTTGCCACTCCGTGACTTGCTGCTGCTGTGTCTGTGTGGTGTGGTGCCTGCCTGCTGATGATTCTCCTCCCCCCCCTACCGGTTCGGCATGGCCACGTAGGCGTGGTTGGAGCCTGGCTCGGCCGAAGAGTTCCACTCCTTCCGATTAGCCGGCGCTGTCAGCCAATGCGATTTGTCCGTAAAAACAAACTTTGGGGAGACGGGGGAGGAGGAGGTGGTGGTGGTGGGGTGGGCTGTGTGTGTGTTGGGGAGATGGAGGTGATGGTGGCAGTAGTGGGGTTGTTGGTATGTGTGTGTGTTGGGGAGATGAAGGTGATGGTGGCAGTCGTGGAGTTGGTCTGTGTGTGTGTTAAGATGGAGGTGGTGGTGGCAGTAGTGGGGTTGTTGGTATGTGTGTGTGTTGGGGAGATGAAGGTGATGGTGGCAGTCGTGGAGTTGGTCTGTGTGTGTGTTAAGATGGAGGTGGTGGTGGCAGTAGTGGGGTGGTCTGTTTGTGTGTGAATCTTCTCTCGGTGTGAAACGGGGAACGCACCGAATAGATTTAAATCAGGTTGTGGTTGATGCTGTCAAATATATTTCGAGAGTAAAAACAGATAGGTGGTATTATAACGCTGTAAGATATGGGGTAGCAACGGGGCATCGAAGCCTGTTGCCTCCTTATCGATCTTCTATCGCTACGACCAATGTGACGTGTTCCCATGGACTTCACTCATCGATTCCTCGACCGATGTTGGCTGGGTGTACCACAGAGTCTCGTCTCATTCACTGTTCAGTCACCACGTAACACGACTTTCCCTTTCTTCCCTCTCACATTGCTCGGCTTGGAATTCCCTTCCACTGTCTGTTTTCCCCAAACTCCTATAACCGTGGTTAATTCAAGAAGCGCTCTTTTCTATTACAACCGTGATCGCGTTGTTTTTGCTGACGTTTCAGGCACGTGCTCAGTAATTGTGCTGAAGTTCGTCCTGTTATTGCGTGGGGTTTTTAAATCCTTTATATTAAGTTCGCTTGCTTGCTTACGATCGTGCAAATCTTTCGGTCGTTTTTTAACCAACTTCCTGTGATCCAATCGAGCTGACATTTTCCACACAGACTCGTTGTGCGTGACAATTAATTTTCGTGAAAAAAACATTTCCAAAATGTTACACTGTTTAGGGATTTTTTACAAATATTTAATTACCAATTGCTTAATGCTGGCAGACAATCATCTGACCCATAGGTGGCAGCCATTTCAAGCCAGAGGACGAGAGGACTCTAGCCGCCACGCATATAAAGGATTTAGAGTGAAAAACTTTGTTTTTACGGGTTAATTTTTTTTTAATTGTGAAAATCCTCACTAAAGCTCAAGTTATTTTTTCACGCGCGTCCTGCCATTCACGTGTTTCCATCATACTAAGCTACATTTGTTTGGGCGGAAACTGGACCGAGACATCTAATTTCAACTGTACTGCCACCTCCTGGCCATATCCGTTCCGCAGGCTTCAGCTTCAACATCCGATCCCACAAACCAGAAGCTTGCCCCCACTCCCCCGTCAAATGTATCTCCCTGGGCACCCCCCACGTCAAATGTATCCCCCCTCGGTGCCTCCCTCCACCGTCAAATGTACATCCCTTTTCCTCTTTATTGTCAAGCGCCTTGGGCCCCCTGCGGCCTGTGGGTTCCATTGCACTGAGCCTTGAATTCAAGCAGCAGACTACGTATAGGCACGCTCAGTGGACAAAGGTTTCACTTCACAAATACTATTATACTCTGACTCTGCAAACATGTACTTTGCAGACTTTACATTGCCTTGTATGGTATTCTAGATTTAGCCATGCTGTCCAAATTCAAATATTTTAGCCAAACAACATGGTTATTTTTTTAGCCAAAAGAATATTTTCTAAGTTGATTGCAGATCCTCTTTGCAGAAAATGTGTGCGTGGCTTGTAAGACGGTTGTTAGCACCAGCACGCACGACCATCAAAAACAAAGCACAAGGAAATACAATCAATGTTTTATTCCTTTTTAAAGGTTCAAATAACGCTTTTTGTTTTAAAAAAATGATCACAACATATACTAACTTCATCCCAAAATAAATGTCTCAATGCTGCAACGCTCATGAACAGGATGAAATACTCCAATGCCCCAACTGCTACCGTAGGCATTAAAAGCAAAACGGACTCTCAAACGCACTTTGATTAAGCAACACTGTCGAGTGTTGGCACTTGGTCTTGAACTTGTGAAAACTTCAACACTCCCTGCCATCAACAGATGCAGGGGCAAGACGAATGGAGGGGGTGGGGGGGCAGCTGATGGCCACACATACCAGGAAGGCACGCAAGGTAGCAAAGGTCCGAGTGGAAATGCTTATGCAGTGCAGTGGGCTTTCCAGATCCCCCCCGTGAAAGGTTTGGTTAAATACCAGCTCTGTGCCATACTGAAAGGGCACTGACCAGTATCATAAAATATGGCCAAAAAACCCTCATGACCAACAGAGCGTGTGGTGACCTTCATCCAGCAGTGGATTGACAAGGGGCTGAACATTATTGTTATTTTATACTGAAGGGCACACGGCAATGGGCACCATTAGTCATTCATCCTAGGAAAGGGCTTTTACACGAGCTGCTAGGATACGGGCTCAAATTTATCCCAAAAAGGGTATTTTCTGATCGCTATCAGGGCAAACCCGTGGCTAACAGTTTCCGTAAAAAGCCCAACATGGTAGTGGCCTGCAGCTCTTAACAGCCACATTCTCCCAAAGTGAGGATATCTGGGCACAATCCACCCACCACTCTAGTACTGTACATTCATATTTACGGCAACTTGCAAGCCAGCTTTCAGGTCTCGGCAAACGCGCTGACAGGGTCTCCGATTCACGTGTTTTGAGAATTTTCTCCCTCTGTACCATTTCTGGCCAAAAGTGTGACGATGTCTTCTTTACTAACAATGGCGAAAATTGCGCAAGCAAAGAGTGTTGGCCACTTGGTTTAGATGTAAATCTGACTCTTGGCGTGTATTAACTTGAAAATGCCCACAAGGGTTGGATCTGCAGCACAGATTAATCGGCAGGGTCGTGCAGCCACAAGTGTGCAGTGGCGTAGCTATCAAGTGTGCAGTTAAAACTGCACCAGGGCCCATAGGTTGGATGGGCCCCAGCGTCGGGCTACGAAGGAGTGGAACATTTTTGACAGGGGCCCCAATTTCACGCCTTGCACCAGAGCTCATGGCAACCACGCTATGCCATTGAGCATGGATGTGGCTGCTGCAGAGGCACAGGCTTGATGGTGCACGGACGAGAGCGGGTGGAAGAGACAAAGTTAAAGCTCTCTGCGGGCTCCCGAGGTCACGCGCGGCGCACAAACCGCAGCACAGGTAAACTTTGAAGGCATTTAAAACGAAATGGAAACCAACGCTTACAGTGGAACCCACTTGATAGCACTCTCTAGTGGCCAATGTAGAAAAATCGACCTGTAATCAGCAAGGCTCCACCATCATCTCAACATCCTGAATTAATCCTTGCCGCAAACACCAGACATCGATCTTTGGCTGCAGCAGTCGGGAGGTTTCACAGCACGACCCGTCCGTCCCGGGCGGGTCTCGTCAGTTGATGAAGTTGTAGACGAGGAAGCGTGGAGTCTGGCAGTAGCGCATGGCGAACAGCTTGCCGTCCGGAGTGGGGTCCGAGAAAGCCAGCTCGTTCTTGCTCAGGTACACTCCGTACGAGAAGTTCCTCCTGTGACACCCATGCAGCAGGAGTAAGTGGTAAGAATGGGCATCGTGTGGACATAAAGCGCAGTCAAAGCTTTGCGTTAGGGACTTAAACACATTGTAAAATGTGGTCTCATAAACAGAGTACCGAAAATGTATCTGGCTTCCATCTCTCTTCTGCAGATCCATTACCCAAAACCTTACAAAATCCTTCACTTTGCATTAAAAAGCCACTTAAGTGCCTTACAGTAGGCATATTCCAAATAACACTCAATCGTAACCGAATATATATTTCTGCTGTAATTCAATGAGATGATTTGGTCTGTGTGAACCACCTAGTGCCATCGTCCTCTGGTTACCTAAACATAAGGACAAACCGTCGCTCACCGCAGACAGTCCACCATGCGAGTGGCGATGCCACGCCGGCGCATGAGGCTGAACACCCAGATGCGGCTCACGCCACAGATGGCCGGCTCTGCCACGGAGGAGCAGCACCACGCCTGCTGCCTCTCCAGAAGCGCTTCGAGCGGCTCGCCGAGACCCTGCGCTGCTGCCGCTACCGGCACCGCCGCCACGGCCACTGCCACTCCATCACCCTCTCCTCGCCCGGCCCCTTCCTCGGGGGGTCTGCTGCTCTGCTCCGGTGACGCCTCAACTTTGGTCGTCGCCGCCGTGGGCTGCGGGGATCTGGTTGCCCCGTTGATGTCAGCCGGCTCGCCATCCAGCAGTGGAGCCGCTCCGGGTTTCGTGTCGTCGCCAGCGCTGGCCGTCTGTGGCGAGGCGGCGGCATCCTGGTCTGGCTTTGGCTGCTTATCTGGCAAAACTCGGTAACCCTGCAGCGTAAATAATTGCAGCATGGATTAAAAGGGGGAAGAAACTGGATGAGTCTCCAGGACCTGGTGAAGGATCGAGAGATGGAGTTTGACTATGCATTAATAGCCAGACACAGCCTAAAAACCATAACCTGACATGATTAATTAATTATGATTTAAGGCTCGCAACCTTCCAAAAGCTGATGATAAACAATCAATAAAATGTCATTAAGAGTGAGCAAATCTATGGTGGGAAAATGACAAACCAACACACACTGCAATTAACAGGCAGGGCCAACATGTATAATGATTAAATAATTAAATGGCTATCATATGTAACTGCCAATATTCATTAGCAGCATTCAATAATAAACCATCCATTATGGTTCGAGATGAATGCAGAACTCACAAAACTTCAAAATAAAAAAAAACAGCAAACCATCGACTTTCCCAGCAGCTGCTTTAAATATACAACACACGTTTGGAAGTTCCAATGAGCAAACAGCAATGAGTGAAATCATCAACAGGATGGACATCTTACCTTGGTGATGTGCTCGGCG